GGCAATCAGAAAAATCAAGTTGGTGATCATGACTGTGTGATCAAAGCCCTGCTCCTTTTGTACGCACATCATCAAGTGCACATATGAAAGGTCCAAGCTCTTCAGCAAACAAAAAAACCCGGAGTCATCTACAACTTACAATACAAGGACTGTAACAGCCACTATGTAGGACAGACAGGCAGAAGACTAGTAGAGTGTATCCCTGAACACCAACTAGCAGTCAGAAGACATGAAAACTCCTTAATCTCACAATACATAGACAGACTCAACCACAGTTTCAGCTGGGAAACTATTAGGATCTTAGACCAAGCCAAATCCAAAAATGAAAGCTTGGCATTCAGATAAATCAGCCATCAATAGACACATTGAGATAAATCACATTTACTCACCATTCAAAAGAAACAATAAAAAACCTAGGAAGGAAACAAAAAGAATACAGCACACCCCCTCCAGCGGCTCCTATTCAGATAAGCAGGGATGAACACCAGACAAACAATCGGGTAGAAAACAATATGCTAATCAAGGAACCACCAAGGAGGAAACAATGTGCCCACCAAAACTGGCAGGATAAGTTACTACATATAAACAGGCAGCAAATCTCACACCTCACTCGCACTGATGATGTTACCTAGTTGGGTAGTGAAACATCTGCAAGCAAAAACCAAGCTCAGAGAGCACCAAGGATTCCACAGTTCAACTCTGAGCTATAGATACTCTTTTCTGTTGAAATTGTTCCACTGTTGCTCATATTTTACCATCAAGAATTTTTTCCTTATATTTAAATGAAATTTAGATTATTTCTGGCCCTAGTTTCTGTGGCCATGAAAAATTGTTCTCGGTCATCTTCCCTATAGCTTCTTTTTATATACCTGTCTCATGTCTCCCTTCAGTCTACTTTTCTCCATGGTTATTGCTTGTTCTCCCTCTTCCTCTCTGTTTTGCAAACATGCATATCCTGCAAAACCTTTTTGTCATTTTAGCAGCAAATACAGAACCCATTTCCTGCAGTAATAATTAGTTATACCGTCATGATTATTAATACATGTTTCCATGACTGTGGCTTGTCTGTTTCTCTAAAAACACATCCCTGAAGCCTAAAGAAAAATCCTGGATAAGGATTCAATTCTATATTGTACAGAACTATTTCCTTGCAGTGGTCAGGCATGTGTAAAAGGAAAACACATATGCAAGATACAAGTGCAGGAGCATCCTGACCATCACAAATAGTTGCTAGTGCTTTGATACTTGCCCTCCTCAGTCTTCAGTGCATTCAATGCAATGTCACCTATCATGGTTTTGAAAGAATAACTTGGTGATAGGTTTAATGGAAGGAAGAGTCTGCACTGTATACCTGGAGGTATTTTTAAGCTCCTGGAATAGAACGTTATTTATTGCCATTTCTGTAGTCATTTTAGGTGAACCAAAGCATTTACTTTTCTTCCTTCTTCCCTTCGCTCTCTTTTTTCTTGCAATAAACTTTTTTGTAAAGGAGAATAAATGAAATGTCCGTCAGGTATATTGGATGCACTCTGTTAAGCTATTACTCCCTGTCTGTTTAATCCACTTCCAATTTTTCATTTTATATTCACTAAAGGCAAGGCAATTGTATATCACTGTCCAAAGGTTTCCCCATTTATTATAATTTTCTCTATACCATATTGTTGATCAGTCCAGAAAAGGCAAGTACACTTTGATAAATAACATCCTATATCAAAGACTGCAATTTCTGATAAACTCACACAGCACTGTTTTTGCATGTCCCCATAGGGCTCCAGGTCCAGCTGCCTCAGTACATAAATAAGCCATTTATGCAGTGCTTTCCAAATGGCATATATCAGGAAATGTTGGGCTGAAACTAGATGGCTAGTGAAAGATAATGACTGGACACTAGTTAAATGAAGTTCTGCCACTCTAAATTCTGTTTTTGCATCAGCAGAACAATCCTAGCTTATTCAATGAAACATTATAATGTTTGAGATTTCATTTGTTGTAAGCTCCAAAGCCTGAAGATCACTGTCTCTCCATTCCTTAATTTTTATACATGATCTTGCCCATTGTTGCTTGCAGTAGAAGGCAGGTCATTTAGATCAGCCATTTAAGTATCCCCCAGGACTGGATCCTTTCAGGGCTTTTTGAAATTAGGAGGGTAGGCGGGAGTATCTGATCTTGAAACCCCTCAAGGTAGGACCTCAGAACGGCAAGCTATAGAATCTTACAAGTTGCTGGTCTGGTTATTCTGCACATTGATTGATCTTCAAGTTAACTCTTTTGCTACTTCCTTTGAAAGACTCTATGTGCATGCGTGTGCGTGTGTGTGTGTGTGTGTACCTTCAAGTCAGTGTTGACTTCTGGTGAGTGCCTGGACACGTTCCTGCAGTTTTCTTGGCAAGATTTGCCATTGCCTCCTTCCTAGGGCTGAGAGAGTGTGACTGGCCCAAGGTCACCCAGCTAGTTTTGCAGAACTAGAACTCACAGTCTCCTGGTTTCTAGCCTGATGCTTTAACCGCTACATCAAACTGGCTCTCTTGTTTTTACATTTTTCTCTAGTTTTTACCTATGTTAAATTAGAGCAAACCATTTATATATGTCTAGGGTTCTAGACTTCTTGGCAGAACTACTTGTCATCCTTAGGTACAGTGGACTTTCCCCTGATGTCTTGATTCCAATGGGTCTTGACCAGGCCAAAGCAACTTTCGAGTAATGCCAGAGATATTGCTCTGCAAAACAATCCCAGCCAGATGCTACCATATATTATTCCAATGAACTCAGGGAAAAGTGTTGCACTTGTGCATTACTTGTACAATTTCACCCCTAAAAAACACTAAAAAGCCTTTACGTTTGCTTGCTGTAATGCTCTCTCCTGCATCCTTCTGTAACATACCTAAACGACAGCAACCCTGCCCTATATCAGGCAGAAATTGAAATTTTGGGTCATGTATTACTGCACTGCCTCTTTTATAGAGATCTCTGACATATGTACATTTTCCCATTCATAGCACAATACCCAGGCAGGACAGAGGCTGATTATCTTAGCCTCTTGCTAGCTGACCAAGAGACAGGGATTTCAGACAGAGCCCAGTTCTGTGATTAAAAACAAACAACTCCTCCAAGTAAGGCAATGCAGAGCCCTGTCTAGGTTACCATAACTCAATATATTTCATAATCCTTCCTTTTCTTTCTTTCCCCCACCCCCCTTACATAAACACATTTCGCTCCAATTTCATTATGCTTTCTCTTGCAATTATCTCATTTCTAGTGGGTTGGATTATAATTGCTATAATCCCAATCAAATTCTAGTAGGGCTACAGCAAGTACAGTATTAGGGTCCCAAGTCAAGATAGTTTTAAATTGTTATAATGTCGTATAGTTCTTAGTGTTTCTCATGTATTATCTATAGTTATTTATCTTAAATATTTATTGCATTGAGACTATAGATTGTAATTTTATAGGTTTTCCCCCCTGGTTTTATACCTGATATTTTGTAATTCCATGCTAATTTTATTTTATTAATACAATATTTTATTCCTGCTTTTATTTTAGAATATGTTATTTGTTTTATGCTGGTCTATGACTGAAATAAAAGTAAACAGATATATGGCTCGGACTGAACCTCTGTGTGTGTGCGTATGTGTGCGTGTGTTTCATCTAAGAGTGCTGCAGTAGACAGAAGCATGATCTTCCAGAGTTTTTTTTTCCATGTATTTTCTTAGTTTTCTTCTTGAGGGGTAAAGTGGGCTGTTTTAGCAAGTTCAATTTTAGCACATTGAAGTAATCCTTAGAATTACAGAAAGCCTTGCCACCAATTCTTGCCCTTTCACAATCAAATGTCAATGGCTCCAGTTGGAGGGGACTTTGGTAATCACATAGAAAAGGCCTACAAGTCACATGCAGGCCTTGTTTTGTCCACTTTTGCTGTAGACCTAACAAGTCATTCTGTATCCATGAATAATCAACAATCAATGGTAGGATGGACCCATCATACTTATCATCTCCCTATGCATGTTGAGTATTCAAAGAAGTAAAACACCTGAATTCTACAGCTCTGCAAAGATTTCTTTTGGAGTTTCCAATCAAAGGCAATTCAATCAAATTGTTCGTTTGATTTTCAGATTAAATCAGTGGAACAAAGTGAATCAAATTGATTTGACAATTTAATTACTTTTGAGCATAGCAGAATTGATAATTTGAATTGCATCTTTCTTTCGTCTTGAGGGATGCATTTTTAGAGGATCAGACAAACCAGAGTCATGAAACACATATTAATAATCATGACAGTATGATTAATTATTATTGCAGGAAATGGATTCTGTAGTTGCTGCTAAAATGTCAGAAAGGTTTTCCAGCATATGTACATTTGCAAAAGAGAGAGGCAGGGGGAGAACAAGCAATAACCAGAATAATCTGTATGGATGATTGAAATCAATATCTTAGATAGAATAATTCCAAATTTAATGGTCAAAGCACCATTTTGAATTAGAATGATTTGACAGTTATCATTGGAAGAGAGGTAATTTGCACAGACTTTCCGAAAAAGTCTAAAATCTCCTATCTTCAGGGAGTGGTTGACTTGGAATGAGTCTTTTCTCTCAAAGGCACCAAAGGCTGCAATGTTCCATTTTATGGAGGGGCTACATTAGCATTCAGCT